TGTTATTTGGGTGTCATTGGCGTCCATTCATCATTTTTAAGTGCGCCCAGTCAGATACACATGACAAAATTTTATTGAAGTCCAGAAGCAGAACTACGTCAAAACTCCATATGTAATAATTTTTTTTCCATATTTAGAGCCCATACTAAGTGTGAAAACTAGACATTAGAACATTTGTCATGCTTGAATCAACCCAATGCCTAGTGTGATCATTAGTTAAAATGCCTTTGAACTTTAACAAGACATCACCAAGGGAATATTAGCTCATTGATAATGTTTATGGGTTGTTGCTAGTCTACTTTCATTCTATAATAGCTATGTTTAATATAGTTATTTAATGATTATGTTGTCAATTTAATCTAATCAAAGGAGATGCTTAAGAAGCTAAAATTCACCAAACTAATAGTATATATACCATCAATTCTAATAGCAAATGTTAATAAGTTCATTTATACTTTCATACATCAAAGAAAAAGTTTTATGTTTTCAATAAAATTAAGGAAGATTTGCAGATATGTCATGCAAATTTTATGTATTTACATATCTAATACTTAAATTTTGATATTTACATTTATTTTCATTTTTTCTATATATAAAAATGTGTATTTCACTTTGTAAGAGTTGTGGTAGTGATGGTTTTGTTGTGATATGGAAGATTTGAGCGTTATAAATTTAATATATATATATATATACACCAATGCTTTGATGTTAGATACGTAAATTCATATGAGTTGTGTGATATGTTTGAAAATTTTCGACTTAGAGCTAAATCATAATATATGCACTTAGAATGTTTATAGCTAAGGGTCTGTTTGAGGCAGCTTATAAGTGCGGGCAGCGTTTTCAAAACGTCGCCGCCGTACTGTTTGGTTACGTCGCCGTACTGTTTGGTTAGCACGTTTTATCAGCTTATCTGAAATTGTGTTTGGGTTTTTACACTAAACGCAGGCCGCGGGTCGACCCCTATAGTCGGCCCGCGGGCCTCATTTCAGAATAAACAACTTATCCTAAACGCACAGGCTGCTACAAACGGACCTTAAGTTTACTCATCTTATAATAAGCCACATCTTATATCATTCATTCATTACACTTCTACGTTTTTACATGCATGTCACACAATTTTCATGTATTTACATATCTAACATTCAAAATTTGATATTTACATTTATCACATCTTGATCTCATAAATCTATGCACGAAAAAATGTATTTCATTCGTAAAAAGATGAATAATGATGTCATTATTTTTTATGATATATATAAAAATATGAGAGTTTAGACATATAGGAATTGTTTGGTATGTATGTAAATGCCCAAAAGTTTTTGTAAGAAAAATCGAACAATTTGCATATATATATAT